TGATGAGCTGATGACGCCGGACGGCGATTGGCCGTTCCTGGAGTGGAGCCCCACCGATCAGAAGATGATTGAGTCGGTGGAGGGTCCTCTCACCACGGCTCAAGTTGTCTCAGGACTGGGGGACGCAATCACCCGAATCTCCTCCGATCCGGAACACATCAAGCTCTTCAAAACTTCGCGGCCATTGGCTGACGGCATGACGGGAGGTCCAGTCCGAATCCAGATCCAGCTGTCAACCAGAGCGGCCACATCTGATTTGCAGGACACCTTGCAGTCCCTAATTGGTAATACTGCCTTTTCGCTCATAAATGCGGATTTTCAGCGACTGGGAACTCAGCCCTCGCCGTTGGTTCGCCAGATTCGCGATTTGCTCTCCTGATCTATTCCTGAGGATTAGATCATTGATCGGATTTGCCCCACGAGCGGGCCGGCCTGGTACTAAGAGCTTAGTCGAAGTAAACCCCTAAGAAGAGGAGCTACTCCCACTCTGTGCACACTCGTGAGGAGCCTGCGCTATCTTCGATGAGCTGCGAGGAGGCCCTCCCGTGGAGCTGACGTAGGGATCTCTTGCATAGCAACATAGATGTTCCCCTTTAGGATAAAGCGTTCAGGCTCAGAAGCTTCAAGGTTAGGCTGTGTATTTCCTCCTTCTCTCAACATGTACGACCAGACGCCAACTCACTTGGCCATGATGTTGCTTCCGACGATAGCAGCCGTCCATTATCTGCACCAGAAGTCCCAAGGTGTGGAGATACTCCCCTGGGCGGTGCTCACAGAGCTGCGAGAGAGAGTGAAGGCGCTCGGGCTCATCACTAAGGACGAGATCCTAAACCTTGCCGTGGAGCTACTCCCGGAAGGCGGGGTCCGTCAGGTGATCAAACACCTCCACTCCATCTCCGGCATCGATGAGTGGGGGCAGATAAGGTACCGACGGCGAAGAGTTCTGGCCGAGCAGGGCCTGGAATATCTCACCCTCGCTCGCATCACCTCTGAGAAACTGGTTGCCCCAGAAAGCATCTCTCTCCACAGGTACGATCTGGACTCTCTGGAGAGAGAGACTCACATTGTGGCATACGTGAGTAAGTTTTTACCGATCGACTCCAGAACAGTCTACCTGGAGGAGGTGGAGACTTTGAGGGCCACGTTCTTCGCCGAAGATCGCAAGTTGAACTTGGCCACAGCGATGTGGGAGGTGTCGTACAATCGCCTCATGGATGCCTCATCCTGAGCCAGGTGCCTAGTGGAGACGCTCCCTATCCTCCTAACAAACAGAGGAGTTTCTCCCTTGCCATGTGTGTACAGCTGGTGGAGTTACTCCCCAGGGGTTTTTATACAGTAGGAGAGCCACCGGTGGAGCTTCTCCCCTCGTCTTGGTGGAGTTTCTCCCCCAATGAAGGGTGTACAGCTGGTGGAGGTTCTCCCCAGGGGTTTTTAACAGCTCTGAGAAAGCAGATTAAAATGTCCCATCACCTGCCCAGTGCAACTCTGTGCCTTCAGCAACTCACCTCCCGTGATGGAGGTCCCTCTTCGCGGTGGCCTGGTGCTCGGACGGCCAATCATCTGTTGTGTGTCTTAAACTCAGCTCGTGCCAACACATCGCAGCTTTCTCTCAAAAGCCAGCATCATGTCACGACCAGAGTCAACACAGGATCCCTCGTTTCAGGATGAGTATGAGGAATTCTGCCAGCGACGGATACGCGAACAACTTCCGCATGTCACGTATCGAAATTTCTTGCGTCAGTGGAGGCGCTCTGCCCGCGCTCACGGCGAAAGTTATCCAGCACACAAAGGTGCCTCGAAAGGCACCGGCGGACCGGAGCCGGGAAGTGGAAAGGGTGGAGTTACTCCCCCTCCTCCTCCTTCCAAAAAGAGAAGAAAGCGAGGGTGGAGATACTCCCCCTGCAGCAAAGGCCAAGAGTGGAGATCCTCCCTCAGGGGACCCCTCTTCGCAACCGGCCACCGATGAAAGCACGGAAGCTGCCTTCAAAGTACTCCAGTCGGTGGGGTACCCACCTTTTCCTAGTCTGATCACAGACTGTGACGGCACCATCACCGACCTGAATAACCATCGAATCATGGTGACAGTGACTCAGCAACTTCGAGACGGCCTCAACCAGGCGGAGAGACCTTCTCCGGAGATCGCCAATGCCCTCCTGGAGACCTTCTTAGCTTCCCGCCGGGGCCTGGCCAATGAGCCCCTGCAGCCGAAGCTTGGCTTTCCAACAGCTGAGGAGAAGGGATGGTTTAGATTTGAGTACTCTTCACCGAATATTCTTCCTGCAGGGGACAGCGAGGTTGCGTTCCACGGCACACACCTGGAATGTTTGCATGGGATATTGGCCACAGGAAGACTTCTACCTTCGACACCGGACCTCTCCGGCACAAGAAGCTTCGAGGCCCGCCCAGGAGTGTATCTCCACAAGCTTTCAAACAGGCATCTCGCTGCCGGTTACAGTTGCCTGGTGAGGATAGGACCCCGCCACATATTCGTCCGGCCCATGATCGAGGTGGAAGCTGCACACTCTGGATCGCAAAAACGTGGAAAGAAAACAAATCAACTAATATACTACTTTGACGCAGTGAAAATCCGAGCGCTGCTGCTCCAAATCTCAACAAAGGAGACACTCACCTTAGGTGATTACCTCCGAAAGTGGAGCGGAATGCTTGAGATTCCGCTTCGACAGGCTCGTGATTCATTCACAGCTTTGGGATATGATCTGCCTGGCGAAGCGGCCTCGTCAAGTCGAGGAAAGGAAGGAGGAGCTCCTCCCCTTCCAGTATCAGAGCCGGCGTCAGGTTCACAGGGTGGAGTTCCTCCCCCGACCGAGATCGTAGAGATCACTGACCATAGCTCAGTTACACCAAGGAGTTCCTCTATTGTGGCATGGGATGGTCAACCAGGTGACCTAGGCGACTATTGCACTGCCTCAACGAACCCAGAGACCAGCTTTTCGTTCGAGGTATCCAAAGCTCTAGCAGCTTCCCGTAGGCACGGACATAGACCGCACATCAATGTCACTTCGGCAGGCTGGGCCAAACTTGAGGACGTGTTGACTTGGCCACGAGTGCAGGCCCAGAAAGCCACGGCAGGCGACCTCATGGAGGTCGTTCGTAGCAATGCCAAAGGCAGGTACGAGTTGGGAGACTGCCAAGGCCAGAAGTACATCAGGGCGCTGCAAGGACATTCTCGCTCGGACGTGGACTCGAAAGAGGTGTTGGAGGAACTCACGGAGGAGATGCTCCCCGGAATGCTCTACCATGGCACATATTGGTCCTTGTACGACCCAATCCGTCAACGCGGCCTTCTGCCACAGAACAAGATCTCCAAGGGCCGTGGGAAAGGCGGACGTGGCAGGGAGGGACGGCAGCATATCCACTTCATTTCGGACAGCGACTATGGGAAACCAGGTGTCTCTGGCTTCAGAGAAAGCTCGTCCATGTTGGTGGCGGTAAACCCACGCAAGGCGACACAGGTAGGGGTGAAGTTTTTCCGTAGCAAGAACGGCGTGATTCTCACCCCAACCGAAGTGCCTCCTTCTGTCATAGAGTACTATCAGTCTGAAATCAGGCACCAAGTACGGAGGCGACAACAGGCCGCTCTGACTCCGAAAGAGAGCCTCGCCAAATGGTGGAGCCGCTCCCCAAACAGTCTCTGCAGCTGCTCAGGCAAGAAATCGAAGCTAAAGGTTAAGGGTTATCTCAGAATTCATCACCTGCCAGCAATCAATATCCCGAGGTCAGATCCACCGCTCTGTGCAGAGCCACGGGCCCAGACTTTGCAAGTGATCTGTCAGCCAAAGGATCACAAAAAGCAACTCATGCTCGTATCTCACACAGGCTCAACTCACCAGCTGTATCGACTCTAGCAGCCATGCCCGAAACTCCGAAGAAGAGTGGCACCAGAGCGAACTCACGCACCCCTCCACCAGTGAGGCGTCGTCCTCACCTATCCAGGTCGCCGCCATCCAGCGATGCCATCCGGGATTCAGACTCAGACGACAGAGCGGCACCTAAGGCTGATGGGCCTAAGGGCCCGCCGCCGCCGGTGCCCGTCAATCTGTCGGGAAGCGGATCCAGCACGGATCGGACACCAGGAGGCCCAGGAAAGGCACCTGGAGTGCCAGTGAAAGGAGGAATCCCCACCAAAGGCTGTGACCTCCACGATTTCCCATACTGGAGAACTTTATGTCACGAGCACTGGTCCGGCAGGAGTTACTCCGCCATCAGCGAACACCAACAATGAGTTGGAGATGGCGCCTGGCATGCCCCTACTGAGCGTATCATTGCCTCACCGCCTCTTTTTCAACATAGAGTTTGTGGTTCGCACTGAGCCTTCACAGCGAGGCTAGAATACTCTTACGAGACAGCAGCTGAGTGCAAAATGGACTGCTGCCAATCAGCCAGCGATACATTGTAACCAAGCCGGTTAGCTTTCAAACCAGTGCCAAAATCATATCGCCTCTCAAGACTCTGAAGACACATTCACTTCCCACTTCACAGCTTGCAGCCTTGAGGGGCGGAGCGTGTGCAAGTGCAGTGTTGAGGCACGGCTTGCCGTGAAGAGTGACCGCGCAAGTAGCAAGCAGGGCCAAAGGTCGATCCCTCGCAAAGCGTGGACGATGGACGATAAGTTTCACCTCAGACAGTCCTCTCCCGCTGCGTGTGAATGAAAATGCTGTTGCTGTTGCTGTTGCTGTTGCTGTTGTTGTAGTTGTTGTTGTTGTTGTTGGTGGTGTTGTTGTTGTTGTCACCAGCATTACCGCCACCACCGACCACGACTACGACGACGTCTGATAATCATAACAGTTGTCTTCATTCCATTATCGTGATCATGTTGGTTCTGATTCTTGTGATGATGATGACGACAATGGGTAAAGTTACCAGTAGTGGTAGCAACACTGTACGAGTCTGTAGAACTAGCAGCAGCACGAGCAGCAGTCGCGGGACCTGCAGCTTGTTTTCAATCGGACGTCGGTCGAAACCGCAAGGGCCCACCAATCCTTGTCGTGCCGGCGCACGAGGTCGTCTAGCTCATCGCAGTGCTCCGTGATCAGCTTCTGGGCAGAGACGGAGGAACGTCCCACACTATAGCTGCCATTGCTCCACGCCGACTCCGACTTCATCCTGCCCTTCTACTTTTTGACGTATAGCACTGGCGGGGCTTTGTGAGGAGACGGGGGAAGGTTTGCGGAAGCAACGGCCTGCTTTTCCAGTTCGGTGGCGACACGGATCTCGTTGATGTCCAGCTTCATCAACAAGGCCTACAGTTCAGGTCTTCCAACCTTCGCGCCTGACCCTCGTCGTTTCGCTGGACAACACGCGCGTTGGAGCTTTCGACTCTTTCGAGGCGCGCGCGGATCCGTCCGACCCTCTCCCAGGCCTCCTCAGAGTCTTTGCTTGGAGGGGGTCAGCGCTTCTCGACACTTCAGCGAATGTCTCCCTCCCTCTACCCTCTACACACCCACCTAACGCAGCGCTGCAGTAGTGCTGCAGTCGCGGAAGTCCGGGTTCCCAAGTCTGAGGAGCGAACCCACGAGCGAACTTGGAGTCGGACCAGGTTTTTCAGGTCCTTCACCAGGGACATCTTGCAGGATCAATCCTCATCACGGTTCCTTCTTGTCACGAGATGTCCGAAGATGTTTTGGACCCGGATGAGCCGAACAGAAACACTTCGTTAGCAAGAATGGGCCTCACTTCGGATTCAGAGGAGCCCAGACTCTGTGACCCAAAAGTCAGAACACCGAATGCGCCTCGGGTAGCGGCCTTTCTGCCTCTCGGCCTGAGCGGCAAGCACCAGCTGGGCTATCACGCCGGGCCCGGAATAATAACTCAGCACCACCGTTGGGGCACCTCACGCATGAGTAATCTTAAGCTGTACATATGACCCCGGCACAGCCCGTCACAAAAGCAGAAGCTTGCACCATGCGTTGACACTTCTCGGATAGAGCCCGGCGAGCGCATCAGCTACGCGCCGAGCCTCTCTTCCTGGGGGGTGTAAAAAACGGTCCTCCAAGCGCCAGCCGGGCGGCAGAACACGCAGCTCTTTTTCAGCACGCGATCTTTACCGAAGTTTCGCCGTCGACTTGTTCAATCGGATTCGGTGCTGCACGGCTGCCATTATGCAAGCGCATGTCACGAGGCTTGCATTCGAACTGCGGCTCTGTTTTGAATTTAAAACACAGACCCTCCCACCCGCCTCAAACGTCTGTGTGAAGATGCGAAGATCTTCAAACTAACTCCTAGCCGAGCCTCCAAGCGCCCAAGCCTCTGAAATGATGGGCCACTCGTACTAGGACCCAAGAGTAACCCAGGAGTAAAAGGGGGGGGCCCTTTGTGCTTTCAAGGGCCTTTTAAAGGAACCTGAGCCCCTAAAAAAGGGAATGAGGGCTTACTCTGGGTCCTAGTACTGGATGCCCCCGTGCAACTCTGAAGAAAACACAGTGAAACTGCAAAACCCAGTAATATACAGTAAGTTTTTATGTAAAAACAGATCCCTAAACCCGGCCCCAGGGGAACAAGCCAAAGTCCGAGCCGCTGCGCGTGCGATGCGGCTTCGGGGCCGCCTCAGGTGGACGTACCTGGCGGTTTAAGGTTTAGGGGTTTAGGGCTTAGGGTTTAGAGTTTAGGGCCAGAGCTTGGAAAAAAACACAGAGGAAACACCACAAACTCTTGGTTCAGAATGGTTTCTTCTAAGGTTTAGGGTTCAGGGTTTTCTGGTTCCTTGTCCTAAATCAACTAGTAAAGTATGGTACTCCGAAACGCGGCACTGGGCTCTGAATGAACCGTTTAGGGCTTTCAAGGTTCAGGGGCTTAGGGCGTAATGAACCGTTTAGGGCTTTCAAGGTTCAGGGGCTTAGGGCGTTTTAAGGTTCACGGTCTTCGGGCTCTGAAGGTGCAGGGGTTTAGGGCTTTCAAGCTTTAGGGCTTGGGGCTTTTCAGGTTTAGGGGTTGGGCCCTTGATGTTCAGGGGTTTAGGGCGTTTAGGGTTTTGTGGCTTGGGGCTTTTTAAGGTTTCGGGGTCTAGGGGTTTAGGAGCTACAACCACGAGAAACAAATCTGTGTAGCAGCTTTCCGTCTGGCCTCAGGGCTCTTGGGAACTCATACCCTCCTGTGCTTGCGCGGTTCTGTTCAGGACTTGATGCGTGAAGGGTTAAGGTTGAGGGTCTAGTTTCGGGCTTCAGGTTCGTTCTAGGGTTGAGGGTGTAGGGTTTGCAGGCACTGACATCATTGCATGCCAAGCAGTGCAAACCCGAAGGAGTCAGGCACCATGAAGCCCCTGTAACCCCAATCGTCAACCTACAACGAGTGCGCCTACCATGGGGGCCTTGAAGGCTTTTGGGGGCGATTCTGCTACACCCGTAATGGGAATCCCAAGAAGTAGTGTTGGTAATTATTCAGGCTTCTATCTTGTCTTCAACCTGAATCCCAAACCCGGACTCCTGGCTGTCAGCATCATTGTCGATTCGGCCCTCCTGACAGGGAAACTTGATGTGTTCGGGGAAGGTGTTGGTAGCTTTCCCAGCTGAGGTATAACCGGATTCTGAAACCCCTATACACCTGTTGATCTTGTTCACTCCGAATTTGAAGCCCGGCAGATCTGAAGGAAGGGCTTATGCTGCCTTACTGCAGCGCCAACCATGCAGCAGCACACGGGCGCGTCTCTTCTTTTTGACAAGCAAGGACAATGGCTCATGGTTAAAGCTGTGCTCGTATTGTACAAGTTCTGCACTGCTTTTGTTCTATGCCTCATGTCCGCTAAGCTTGACGTCACTTGAGTCAAAACAAACACATGTGGTGCACACAAGGTGGAAACGCATGTTCCACACTCCTCCTTGGTGCCCAAACGATAGTTCCGCACCACCCATTTCAGTAGATGCGGTTTCCACCGTTCTCTACACAGCATCGGCATAAGTGGACGAGCCTCTTTCTTCCGGCGTTCCTCAGTCCCCAACAGTTCTCGAATACATGAACCACATCACGTCCCTCGACTTGATGAAAGGGGCCAGCAACAACTCTCGTCTGCGCGGGCGGTGGAGATTCCACTCGTTGAAACACCGGAGGATTCGTTTGCGTCTCCTGATCCTTAGTTGGTGGCTTGCCCTTTGGCTGCTTGTTGGCCTTCGTAGAAAACATCGTTGACATAGCACTCGGAACAGCCATAGAGGATGAAGGAGGGGTAGAGGATGAAGCTGGTGTAGACGCCAAGGGTCTTTCCGTCGGGGTGGTTATCGTAGGCACTGGAGACGTGCCCGCCGGCATCGTACGCTCAAACAAGCACTTAAGGTCCACCAATCGAACCTTCTGCTCGTTGCTCAAGTCCTCGGGTTCCATCGACATCAGCACCTGCAGCTCCTTTAACTCATTTCTTGTAAGCCTGGAAGATGCACTTTGGTTGGCTTGGGCCCTCAAAGCTCGAACACGAACTGTACCCTGTCCAAGGCAGTGTTTCATGGCTTCCCAAACTCCAATCACCGCAATGGACATAACGATGATGACAACGTACAAGTCCCATGGAACTTCCGGCTGTATGCCCTCTTTCATGCCCATAGTACCGCACATCTGGCACACCAACAGAAGCTTGCTCAACCAGGGGGTCACATTCAGGGACTTAATCGTTGCGCTCCTTGCGGGTCTGCGGTCCCTGAAGTCCCAAAGCTTCTTTAGCTCCGCAAGTCGGTCCTTTGGTAGCGGCTTTGTCCCCAAATCCGCCCTCTGGGTGACTCCCGGCTCATGCTTGATGAAGAGATCTCGTTCTTGGATCCTTTGCTTAATCCAATTAGCACGTAGACGCAAGTGACGCGTCCTCCAACTTCCAGAAGCAGTTGTCATCAATGAGATCGCTGCCTGGTTGTCGATATGCAAATGAACAGCCATAATCTTGCCAATGATCTCTTCAAGGAGGCATTTCACGGAAAAGGTCATAACGGCCCCCTCCACACCCTCCATAAGCTCTGTTTCTGCCGTCGATAAAGCTATAAGTGGTTGCCTCGAACTTCTCCACGACAAAGGGCATGATCCAAAGAACACAGCTACCGAGCCATGGCTTTTTCCAGAAGAAGGCGCGAAGCTTGAGTCCGTGTAGGTCCGCAAGAAAGGCTCCTCGCCCTTGTCATTGGCAAACCGTAGTCGCTCATACATCGTCTCATTGAGGTAGTCTAACAACCGGTCGCCGATTGTGATCACCGCCTCCGGGCACCTCGTTATACGCGATGACATTATCGAGGTAGCATATTGAATATCCGGCCTCGATCGAGAAGACAACCATAGCATCTCTCCAACTCGCCTTTGAGCCTCCTTGACAATATGCTCCTTGCCCTTGAGATCCACCGGTACGGCCTCAAGCAAGCTCGCTTCTTCCTCCGCTGACATGATCAAGGTCTCTTTTGGGCCCTGTGTTTTCGCTCTTCCTCCAGAGTGTTGGTGAGAACGTAGGAGCTCCCTTATAAATCCTTCTTGGGAAACCTCAATGCCACCGTTGACAAAATGAAGCTCCATCCCCAAAAACTTGATTGAGTTCTTTTCCGTCAGGACGTTAAGATCATCACACTCCCATTTGTTTGACAACCATCCAAAGAAGGATTTCATGACGCCATCTGTGCTCATTACCATCAAGTCGTCCACGTACACGAGGAGATATCCCAGTGCTTCTTGGGAGCTGCCGTCGGAGCGCAGGATCTTCCATACCTGATTGTCGGACTCCAATTGTTGTAGTTTGAGTTCCACATTCTCACCCTCAATCTCCGTTTCCCATCTGGCCGCCTTAAGTTCAAGGTCTCTGAAGCTAGCCCATGCCGCTGGAGCCTCTCGTAGTCCATAGATAGACTGAAGAACCAGCCAGTAGTCGTCAGGTTCTGCCAAACCCATCTCAACCGCCAAAGCTGGCGGCTTCAAAGCCACAGCCTTCCCAATCCAAGGCGCCAGGACAAAGGCCTGTCGAATGTCCGTGACGGCGGCTCCCCATTTGGGGTGTATTGTTCGGTACGCCAACATAGTTCTCAGTGACGTAGAATCTAAACCAGCCGCGTAGAGCTCGAAGTCCTGACCAGTCAACGCACCCTCCTCGAGGTAGTTTCCACAAGCAACAAAGCGCGTTTTGCGCCTAAAACCTTCTTCACTGGAGTCCGGTTTCACAGTGAAGACGCCCTTACAAGGGACGATACGGCAACCTTGGGGAAGGTCCTTGAACTTGGTCGGTCGGAACGCCTTCTTGCTTTCAACTAAGTTGTTGTACTCCTTCTTCGCTGAGGGAGCCCATTTCGATAGCGCATTCCGAACCTCCGCCAAGCTCACAGTGTGGGTCACCTCTAGGGGCTTCTTGTTGTCAATGTGGTTCTGGAGGATTTCCTCAATGCCCTCTGTGTATTGCACCTCGGACTTCTTAATCATCTTCCTCAAGCGTGCTCTTTCACCCGGGTCTTCGATTGCTGGCATAGATCCACCCCGGTCTTTTCCGGAAAACAGATCATCATCCCCAACTTCAACAAAAGCCTGGTTCTCACCCTCGTTGGTCTTTAAGAAGGCCCTTTTTATTTCAATGTTCTCATCATCATTGTACTCCTCCTGAACATCATGCTCCGGTTCTTTTAGAGCTTCAGCTGCCAACTTGAAACCCAAATCGTTGAGCTCGGTGATCTCCGTTTCCTTCAACTTGTGGGCTCGGGGTGTGTATAAGAGCATAACAACTCTGTCGCCCTTCCAAGGTTGAACTTCATGCCATAGGTTAGGCTTGAAACTCACAGGGTTGTCTTCTTCGAACGATAAAACACTTCCTTCCACCTCACCCTTCTTTGGCACCTTATTGGTGACGGCATCCTTGATCCCCGGCTCGTCGTTTTCAACCCACAGTCCTCCTCCCTCAAACTTAGTCAAGGGGATAACTGTGTTCATAGTGCACCGGCTGTTGTGAACATCCCGATGAAGACCAAGCGCTGAGTTTCTCGTCACACCCAAGGCCGTGAACTCCTTATCACCGATCTTCTCCTTGGCAAACTGGGTCAAGTACTTTGTGGCATTCGGGAACTTCCTCGCATTTGTTCTCAGGCCAGCAACACCACCATGAACGAAGGCCCCCGTAAACCAACTTGTCATAGGAGTCTTCTTCCCCACTCGAAAGTCAGTGTTGCCGAGCTCCTCGAGTTTTTCAAAGAGGTACATAGCATCCTTTGCCTCGAACGCCCGTTTTTCAAGGAGCATCTTACCAATGAACTCAATCTCCGCTTCCAAGCTTTCTTTTGGCACCAGCACATCCGCCCCATCTGGCTCAGGTAGAAGATCCTCAGTGATTCCTGGTTGTAGTAGATCAGGTAACTCCTTCACCGGGTCCACCACATTGAACTTGACACTCTTTGCAATCGTGAGCCCGCCGTCCTCCCTGAGGATGATGTGGCCCCGGTTCACGTCGTAGGAGGGTCCGCGATACCATCCACGTTTCCACCTGGCACCCGTGGGATCATGTTTTTTCTCACTTGCGCCCTTGTAGTTCTTTGCCCGGAACCAAACCTCATGACCAAAAGGAGTAGCCGGAGTTCTTGTCGTGGGGGCAAAAGGAAACGCCTTTGCCCATGCCGTGGAGGTAGCATGCTGTATAGCCATCGGCCAGTCTCGAGGTTCTGCCTGAGCGCTCTTCAACAAAGCCCTCACCCTTGACTTTGCCCATTTCACTCCCAACTCGGCAGTGCTATTTCCAGCCGGATCACCACCCGCCGTTCTCGAATGCCTCAAGCCACAATCTGCAAGCCACTCCTTATACACCAAAGAAGAAAACTCACGAGCTCGGTCAGTATGAACTGTAGCAACATGAAGGCCCGCTTGCTTGAGCTGTAACAGAATCTCTTTTGAGGCTCGCAGCGCCTCTGCTTTCGTTCTCCTCCTCAAAGGTCTCGTGAGGTACATTGTCACACACTCAGGGCTTCAGTGAGCTCCTCCACAGCCTCGTCCAACGTAGCTGGGCCTGCTGGTTCTTTCACTTCATCCTCTCCTCCTGAAGCTGGATCCGCGCCGTCTTTTTCATCTTCCACCAAACCAAATTCATCTTCAGCATCCGACGGCTCATACTCATCCATGGAAAACTCCTTCTCCACAGCCTCGAGAGCTTTTGCATCCATATACTCCTTGGGGCACTTGTAGGCAGCAACCATGATGTACTTGTAATCATCAAAGTCCATGTCCCTGCCCCGAACCTTGTATGGTCCAGCAAGGTCCAGTGCCAAAGCGTAAAGCTGCGGCTGCTTTCTTCTTCTGTGCTGATAGCCAGTGGCCTGGGCATTCAAGCAAACGGAGCAGTCTGCCCGATATGGTTGATGATCGTTGAGTAAATGCAGCATCCATGCATCTCTTTGCTCCTTTGTCAACTTGCTCAGCCTTGCTCCACAGCTCACCGCCTCCTCTTCGTCCATGGCTGACTGAGGGACATAGTTCACAATGGACTTGGCCATCAGGGCCTCGAAGTAGGGAGACCATTTCCTTAGCGCTTCCCGATTCAGCAACGAAGTTGGTAGGCAACCATCATCGTAGTCAAAGTCACCATCAAGCTCAAGCACTTCCGGGTAGGTGGCCGCCGTAGTAGTAGGTCTCACAGCCGGGTGCCCCAACGCACCTTGGTTGAAGGTAGCTGTTGTTATTCCACTCACCGATCGGAAAGACTTCCACATTTCAGTCTTCCAAAACGACAAGTAGTCCTTCTCCTCCTCTCTCATTGGGACCACATCGGCTGGAAACTCAAGGGCAAAGCCAACGTTCCTTCGCGCCTTTGTCATTGCGCACATCCACAACAACATCTGCTTTGCAACACAAGCCGTGTCGAGGTTGATCTTGTGCTGTTGTAGTACCGAAAGTCCAGGGGTGCCGTACGGGTAGTCCTTTGTTCTCTGGTGTATAGATCCCGGTCCCCTCGTTGGAGTCATTGAAGTTGTCCAGGTGGTTTCGGGAGGGCTTCCAACGATATCGGAAATTTTTCCTTTGGCAGCTGCCCATAGTAGGAGCTTGTAAAGCGGAGAAGCGCCATTGATGTCCATCATTTTCGAGTCTGCAACATCCACATCCAAAAGCACCTTTCCTCCTTTAGCGATCATCTTCTCGAAGCCATCATCCCCGTCACTTCTTCCTCGAAACATTCGAACAACCCAGTCATTGGAGGCCAAAAGAGCTTTTCGCTTCCGCCTTGTCAAAGGGAGCCCCTTCAAATAGGCTTCACCATTGTTCACATCAAAGCCCGTTATCATCATCGCCTGGATGTCTGCTGGAAGGTCCTTGGTGACAGGAGAAAGCAATACCGCCCGATGTAGTAGCCCACGATCTCCACTTTCCATGAAATCCTTCAAGAGCTCATTCCATGCGCGCTTCTCCTCCTTCTGCAAAACCTCCAGTCTCGCAGAAAGCGAAGTAACCTGATCGTTAAGCGTCTTCATCTGGACCATCTCAAGCTCCTTGATCAGGCGATGGGCTTCTTTCGCGCTCACCTCTGGGCAGTTGTTCCGAATATGGACTCTCACTTGCCCTCGTTGAGGATGAAACAACTTGATACCATCATCTTTCCATTGAAGGTTGCAGCCAAGGTCTCTTATGATGGCTCCAAGTGGTACTATTGGTTGTGAGTCCTCTGCCTCACCAGGCTTCAGTAGAACCGTGCCCTGGCCATTCTGTCTCAACACGCGCTCCTCCTCGCCCGCCAGCGTCACCTTTACCGGGATGCTCTCGTCGTACTCCTGGGTCGTGGCCACTCTCATAGGGTGCGAAGCTCCACTGTCTAGAAGCCCACCAGTTCCCTCTTCCTCGTCGTATCCCAGCTTCGCTGACAACATCTTAATCTTTGCCCACAAAGGATCATCTTGCACCTTGACATGCTTTATCGTTGTCACCGCCGTCATAGCCTTGAGCATTTTCCCAACATCCGCAAGGACCTCTTTGAGCTCCGTAGTGGTCGTTGGGGTAGAAGCTGTTGCCTCATTCTTCTCGCCTTCCGGTTTTTCTTCGATTCGCACTGCTCTTGTGGTGGTGGTCGAGGAGGTAGCTCCATTTTGCTCGTTGCCATTTCTGGTAGTAGATGGTGTTCTCGCATTTGCCGTTGAGGTAGGCGATCCACCCTTCTTGTTCGGACACTCCTTTGCCATATGCTTCCCACCACACGCAAGGCACCGAGTAGGGCGCTCCTTTTCCAAGCCTTCCCACGAATGAAGGAACGGACACTTTGAGGCCCTCGCGCAGCCACGAAACGTTTTGCCAAAGAACCGGCACGGCACATCCTTCTTCTCCCCGTTCCCTTTGTTGGCATCTTGACCTTCACTTGGAGATGGGGTAGTAGATGTCGTTGGAGGCTTCGGTGGTGGTGGAGGCGCTGGGGTGTTGTTGCCATTCTTGTTGTCCGTCCTCATCGGCTTTATCTTCGGCTCCGGCTTCAAAGGTGCGGTTGTCAAGGTCTGAGTAGACAAAGAAGAGGAAGCCACTGCCAAAGCCTCACACTCACCCATCAAGTGCTTGTAGTACGTATCGATGGTGGTGTAGGAAGGACGGGTATCCACCTGCAAGGTAGACCGCACCAAATTGGTGCGAAAGCCCATATCGGCATGTTGATCCACCAGTCGCCTGACCATAGTGTTCAAGCCCTTTGCCAGGATCGTAGGATCTGGGGTGGCCAAACTCAACTCCTTGCACCGTCTCAACCATCTGTCCCAAGACCTCAAGGCTTCGACGACTTTCTGTGCATCCGTTTCCTGCGGGGGGTTCTGCAAGTTGTTGAGGATTCGGGAACGCTCAGCTTCACCTCCAGGTTGATAAAGAGTCATCAGGCGAAACAAAAGCGACACAGTCGAGCCGGTAAGGCGACGAGCCACCATCTCTGAACGAACGCTCTCGTGAAGGGCCAGCAAGATCATCGAAGCCGCCCGGCTGTTCACCCTTCCCCAACGTCCATCTTCCAAAGAAGGGTCCTTCGGCGGAGATATGGCAAGCTTGTCCATTGGGCCTGCGTCAGTCCAAGCCTGGTAGGACTTGGTGGCCTGCTCACAGACCTTTTTCCACCATGACGCGGAACCATCACTTAGGTCTGACATAGGAGCCGCCAACATCTCTAACCAGTCCGCTATGTCAATGGAGCTCGACTCTGCCTTCACCTGGGGAAGCGCTGGAAGTTGCGACACTCCTGGTTTCACCGCTTCCGGTGATCGATCTTCGTCCTTTCCAACCGTCATCTGCTTCAGCATGGCCTGTTGCAACTGAGCCATACCGCCAGCAAGAAGCGCCATCTGGTCCTGAGCTTGCGGGTTTCCCAGCCATTGCTGAGCTGAAGATGGAGCCTGTGATCCTGAAGCATCGTTCCGTTCAGCCCCTTGGAACGTAGACGACGGACATGCGCGACCTTGACCTTGATCACCTGTGGCATACCCACTATCCTGAGCTTGAGCGCGCCCTTCAGGTAGACCAGAGCCTTGTGGTACGCTAGATTGCAGCGGTACTTGAGGATGACCATCAGCAGGTACGTTGGAGCCTTGTGGTACGCTAGATTGCAGCGGTACTTGAGGATGACCATCAGCAGGTACGTTGGAGCCTTGTGGTACGCTAGATTGCAGCGGTACTTGAGGATGACCATCAGCAGGTACGTTGGAGCCTTGTGGTACGCTAGATTGCAGCGGTACTTGAGGGTGACCATCAGCAGGTACGTTGGAGCCTTGTGGTACACTAGATTGCAGTGGTACTTGAGGATGACCATCAGCAGGTACATTGGAGCCTTGTGGTACGCTAGATTGCAGTGGTACTTGAGGGTGACCGCCTGCTGGTACATTGAGGCCTTGTGGTACACCGGCTTGCCGAGGTACCTGAAAAGGACCACTCGCTGTTCCACCTTCATTGCTTCTCATTGTCCTCTCCGACCTCAACAACTGAACTTCACGCTCAAGCCTCAGAACATGCTCTTGGTACCTTGCCGTATACTCCTCCATCTGCCTCTGAACCTCCTGCTGCAACCTCGAAGATCTTTCACTCTCAATCTCCGACCCTGCACCGTAAATCACCGGATTCTCACGCACTGACTGCCTCATCTGCTCGACCTGCCGTCGAGAAAACAAAGGCTGCTCCTGAGCGGTGGCTGTGGTCCAAGACAAAGGCATCGGGGGTAGATTCGGTTCTCCAGGGAGCTCTTCTGGAGGCGAGAAGTTGATCTGCTGCAGCTCACCCGCAGCCCGACTTCGCACAACCTGCCCTCCAGCATTCCCATGATGAAGACCAAAGGAATCCAAAACTCTGTCCATCCCTGTAGCCCCTCTGCTAGCTGTCGTTCTCAAGAACTCCGTAAACCTCGCCATCCAACGAACACCCTGCTGCTCCTGACCCGCATTTGAGGTTCTGCTCTCCGCCGAAAAGAACTCCTGAACCCTCACAGCACTTCTCGGGGTCTGAGGGGTCCCAATTGCTCCACTCGGTAACCTTGGCATCCCACTTATCTGCTGCGCCTGCATGTCGCCGTCCAGCATCGCACCGCTCCCATATGGAGGATGATCGCCAGCTCGAAGGGCCTGGGTCACAGCTTCCTGAGTCCTTGTAGGTCGCTGAGCATCACGAGGTGGGGCTGGATCAAACACATTAGGGTTATCCCCCGGCAGATCTCTACTTGCTCCATTCGCTGCTTGCTCGTTGCTTCCAGAACTCACACCATTCGGTAGCTGCCCCTGCGGTCCCAACAAACCATTCCCTGCGGAGTTGCTGTCGTGGTTTTGGGCGTACATAACCTGTTGATCTTGTTCACTCCGAATTTGAAGCCCGGCAGATCTGAAGGAAGGGCTTATGCTGCCTTACTGCAGCGCCAACCATGCAGCAGCACACGGGCGCGTCTCTTCTTTTTGACAAGCAAGGACAATGGCTCATGGTTAAAGCTGTGCTCGTATTGTACAAGTTCTGCACTGCTTTTGTTCTATGCCTCATGTCCGCTAAGCTTGACGTCACTTGAGTCAAAACAAACACATGTGGTGCACACAAAGTGGAAACGCATGTTCCACAACACCTTAAGCCTCCAAAGCCGTAAGCCCTGAGCTCCAAACCATGAGCCCACAACCCTATCCAGATAGAACTCCAGAACGCAACGAACCCCAAAGTGAAGCCCATAGTCAGTGTACCTTCACCCCATGCATGTGTAGAATATTGGCGCTTTGTATGTGTTTTGCCATTATTTTACCTCTTTGGTACTTGGGGGGCGGGTAGGTGAGCCTGGCCCTCTGCATGACGCGACCGCAGTGCATGCTACTACCGTTTCGGCGCATGGCTCAGACCGACGGACCTGTCAGGAACCGCAAAAAGTCGTGTGACTACACCGAAGCCTTGTTTCCCTGCAATTTTGGAAGTTAAAGAAACCCGTTGGATTCAGGGATTTGGGGCGTAGAGGTTTATTAGGATTTGGAGGTATTAAGGTTGAGCTTTCGCTTCGGCCTTCCGATAATTTTGCTCGACCAACATCCTACATAAACACACGAATCCTGCATTTGCAATTCTGATCCAGAACAGATCAAGAACTGCAAGCAGCTTAAGCATTTAGCCGCCTAAGCGGAACCCGCCCCCCCATATCTGATCGGCCAAACCTGCATCAAAAAGGCGTCTCACAGATTCGCTGAACAACACAACAATTCCGAAACCCTAGCCCGAAACCAAAATCCTACGATGCCCAACGCGAGCATTCACCCACCCTTCCCCATGCAAACCATTCATCAGCGTCGAAGCCAGAGCTCTGCCCTCAAGATCCCCTTTAAGCGGGTATAGCAACCTGAAGACTTAGTGACACTTTTCCTCAAACCCTATTGCAGCGATTAAGGCCCCCAAAACATCAACCGTCGCAACCTGAAAGCACAACTCCGCAACACCTCGATCGCTACTCACGCTGTAGACTCCACTCCGAAATGGGTTTAGGGTTTAGGGGTTTAGGGTTTGCTCTGAGGAGAGGATATACTAAGTGCGCTTTGGGCCTGCCGTGGTGGACGAGGCTTGCGCTGTTTGGCAACCTTCACCGATAGGACGACCACCTTGGCACCGAAATTTACGAGACTCTACTTGGGAGACTTGCCGGCATGCATTTCAGGCTGCACTTGAAGTTTCGATTGCTACTGCAGATCCACGTTCCCCGTAACCGCCAAGAACAGTTTCAGAGGCTTTAGACCCATTAGTTGCGTGCCGGGACTCTTCAGTTTATGCTTTACACCGCGGATGAAGTGCGGTAAACAACAAGAGCCTTGGAAGCTGTAGTCGGAATACCCAACGACCTGAACAAGACCTGCTTAACGCAACCCCTGAAACTGTAAACCCCAGGACATTGGGTGGCCTGTTGAGATTGGAACAATTGCGGTCCTTATAAGGGATCCTGGAGTTTATGTTTATTTTTGGGATTCATTGGCGTGAATAATCAACATGGAGTGTTGAAATGTCGGGACATTTCGGGGGCAACGAGTATTACTACTGATTAAAGCCGGTATATCATCTACCAATATCTCCTATCACGCAAGCTCAGAAGCCTCAAACCGCCTGCCGCCCAAGAATCCTAAAGAATGCACGCCTTCAGCTTTCGCTTTCGGCGATTGGGTGCGTAGGGTTTGAAGTTGACTTTGTCAGATGGGTGCGGTTAAGGGCCAGGATGCAAGGGTAGCAGTCATCCTGTTGGGGTTTAAGGTCTAGGGGGGGTGTTGTTCTGATGTGTGCCGTACTTTGAGGTCCCTAGTCAATGCTGAACCACTACCGTACTGCAGGGGCTGAGCCCAGAGGGTGGTACCTCAACCCTGCTTAGAGTGTTTGACTTTCGTTTTCAACAACTAAGACAACACAAAGCCCACTAAGCCATGAAAAGAGCGGAGCATCCTCAACAGGAAGCGTGGCCAAAACAATCAACATATCTTAAGACCGTATGGACGAGAGGTTTCACTGATGCTGTACTATACGGAAATGCATGCTACATCATCCTAGTGCTTGTTGACTGCAAAAAGACGCTCCCCGAAAGATGAATCAGGTGCTGGCTGGGTATGAAAATATCTAGCCCCCGTGATGGGCTCAACTGGCCCATGCAGCTGTGTAACATCTGGGAGCGCGATTTGATGCTTCGTGCAAGTTCAGGGCTCAGAGTTGCTCAGATCCCAGCTTGAAGGTCCTTGCAGGCGAGCCGCATCCGAGGACTCCATGGCAACATGTCTTGCAACAGTGGGATCTTGAGCCGTGCTGCATAGCTGCAGAACGCGCAGGAATGTTTGGATTCTTGCTAGTCAGTTCCTGTATCCCGAGGAAACTCCTTTACCTTGTTTAGACTGCCTACGCCTAAATCCCAAACCTACAGCCCTCAGTCCTAACCCTTACATCTAGGGCTCTTCATAGCTAGGCCCTCCGAAGATAATGACTGCAGCTGAGCACCACATATCCAAACGAACAAAACCATGCCCAAACTACAGTAGGAATCCCTGAAGCCTGAAACCCGCATCGAAACCAGAAGAATACGCCAAGCCTACACCCAAACATCAAAGCCCTACACCCTAAACCCCAGACCCGAGTAACCACTCCCCTTATCCTCTTGAGCCCAAAACCTGCAAACCCTGCAAAGCTTCACAGGATGGCAGGAAATTCCTTGAAACATGGGTTTGTAAGAGTTTTGCGAGGTTTGACAGGGTCTCGCAGGGCTCTACAAGCGCAGCGTAGGGTCTGTAGACTTCATGCTTAAAGGGGATCCTGATGTGTTATACTACGAGCGGGCCATGGTGTGATTTCAAAACTCAAGCGGCTTTCCGCTGATATTGCTCTCGCTTCAGCAGACACAATGTTCCAATACAAACTTTGTAACATGAAGGTCGGTTGGCTGTCCCGTCGCTGGATGTAAGATTTCAGCAAGTCGTTGAGATCCAAATGAGACGGCCGTGCCCTGCATGGTATCACTCGCACTTCGGAGTTTGGTCTACGCGCCGCACACGCCCGCTATTGAAACATGACGCGGGTCTCGCACTCTCACCCTGAGAAGGTTAAGCACAAAAAACATAGTAGTGATTGGGAAACCCTGCCACCAGTAGAAAAAGGCACAGCACCGAAACGCCCTTCAAACCAAAACTCTACGGACTGCAGACTCAAGCGAACTTTGGATGGGGCAGGGCGGTCGTGGTAGGGTCATTCCAGAGGGATCTGCCTTTTCGAGGTGGCTGAGCACGGATGATGAGCAGGTGGATGCACACATGCGAAGTCGAAGTACAAGCCTTCGAATGCGGCGCAGGACGTGGATGGGATCCATGCTTGCCTGATGCTCTTGTTTGTTTGTGTGTGCAAGGAGCGAGAAGGAGACTTCTATACCGATCACAAGCTGTGCAAGAAAGAGGATCCCGGTCCACGGAAGGTGACAGTATTGGCATAGTTGACTCCTCTTTACACATGCAGCTTGGCCTGAACATGCAGCTGCCACAGAAAAATGCAACTACAAAGAACTTGTTCCTTCGCTCTCGTCCTCTTCACCGCTTGCGGGTCTGTTCAGCCTGATCCTTCTCCTGCTGCTTGCGCCAGGCCACCGCCTGCTTCCAGGCCTTCCCCACCTCCTTCGCCGAGAAATCCTTGGGGCGGAACCGCATGTTCCTGTTGCTGAGAGGCTTGCACTGGGCCTTCCACGCTCGCCAGGAACCCATTTGATTCCCTTCTCCGGCCCGGGCGGCTCGAAGTGCGGGAGCTCCGAGAGCGGCTTCACGGGCACTTCGAGCCGCTCATCTTGCAACCCCAACTCCTTGGCCAGGTCCCGGGCCCTGGCCTCTCCTCCTTCACCTTGAAATTGCCGCCGTAGATGCATTTCCTGGTGGACGGGTCTGAGAGCTCCACCTGATAGCATCCAGACTTTTTTTTGTACTTGACTCCCCTCACCATGGAGCCGCCAAGCTTCTCCCTGACGGGCTTCGGCGGGTTCAGCTTGCCGAGGCGCACGAGCTCCTCGCGGAAAGCCTTGGCCTCCTCGAGGGCCGCCTCCGAGGCTTCGGCCTCGCTAAGGCCCAGCTTCATGTGTTTGGAGACGGGGAAGGAAAGCTTTTTCACCTTATCGGGTTCCCGCCAGCAAACGTTCCAGCTTGCCATGTTCTGGCGCCAGTTGATTCCAGGCCGCGGAAGCTCCTTGTGACGACTTGTTCGCCCTCAGCTCTGGGCTCCACCTGGCCCGGCGACTCGAAGGGCTTTCGCTCGCCGGGCTCCTGGACGGAGCCCACGGACTCGAAGATCTCGAGGCCCTGCATGGCGGACCCCCCTCCGGTCGGCGAGAGCTTCATCATGCCGTCCTCCACGAGTAGCCAGCCATTGCCAGCCCAAGCTCGTGTGGAAGGTCCCGCATCCAAGGCCACATCTTCATGCACTCAGCTGCTCGGTGCTGATTGCCGGTTGAGCTCCTGTGGGCCTGCGGCCTGGATCCAGAAGTAGGCTCTGTCTGCCGCTCGCTGTTTGAGTCACTGCTGTCATGGAAGAGAGCATGGTGTGGATTCTCGCGGTAGAAGTCGCGCAGCTCTCTGAACTGCTCTTTGCCGAGGAGCTGCACGCATGCTGTTGTTGTGTCTCTTGCACACCCTTGCCACGGAGCTGCGGCTAATCCGAGAAACGGGCTGGCCGGACAGCAGGGCTTCGTGGGGAGCCACGTCTTGCCAGAGGATTGAAATGCTAGGCATTTCTCGGCCCACTCTGTCAATCGCGATTCGAAGGATGGAACGGAGACATCAGGACTCTTCTGGCTCAGTCGACGCCTTTTCGGCCCAGGCTGCTCGAAGTTCTCACGCTTAACTTGCACAGGCAGGGCATCCACTGTCTCCTGCTTAGTGCCAATCCTTGGTTGCAAGGCAACATCAACAAGTCCGCAAGCAAATGACAGCACAAGAAACTGGTTTATGAACGCCGCCAAGCCACAACTGGCATGGCCACTTCTGGTCCTCCGTGACCGGGGAGACAGGACAACGACTGTGTGTGTGAGTGGTGCACGAGTTCGTCTGGGGCTTAGATCAGTTGCAGGGCTTACTGTAGGCGTTGCGGTTCATGTTCAGGGCTTTTATGGATGAGGGTATGCATGCTGCGTTGCATCACGGTGTGGGGACCGCTTCGATCCTGGTCTAGCCTGCAGGAGTCTGCCAGGAGTGCATACAAGGCAGTAAAAATACACCGCCCAGAAACGGCCATTCTCTGGTACTGAGGGTGACACTGCCCTGGAAGTAAAGTAGAATCACCATCAGAGTCTCATCGTTTCGGGAGCTTCAGATCACAGCTAGAACCGCACCACAGCGTGGGGGTCGGACAACGATGGTACTACTGCTTTTGATTTTAGTGGGAGTCGTGGTACTTCAGGCGTAGAGGACTCGTAGAGGGTATAAAACAAAACAGACGAACGGCCATGATGGCCATAGTAAGGATAGAAACAGCAAACTACATCTGAAGACCTGGGCTAACAAAAAACTCGAAATACCGCGCCGACTGAAGCCCTGCGAATGAGTCAGACAAAGCGGGTCCCTTAAAGGAGCCCTGAAAGGATCCCTTAAAGGGTCCTCCTGCTTCACTTCATGCTTGATCTCAGGCTTTGCCTTCCCAGCGACCCAAACGGCGATTGGAACTTGAGACTTCTGGATCTGCTTCTGGGAACGCGGCTTAGGTTTAGGGTTTAGGGGTTTAGGGTTTTAGGGTTTAAGGTTAGGGCTGACTGTAGTAGCGTTTCTTAAACTCCGACGCTGCATACAGGTGCTCATCTCCCCCTGCAAGTGCGGCACACTGGAACCCACAAACCCCAGATGCATCATCTGTTACTCCGCTACTATTGCATATACATGCACCATGCACATACGGATAAAAGAACGGAGTATAAGACGTGCGGATGAGAGCAATTTGGGGCTTGGGGTCCAGGATCGCCATGTTGCTCCGAATACACCTCTGTATATGGATCTGACCATCCCCCCTGGCAGCCTTTGTGCGCATTCTTCGGCGAGAGCTGACGACCTCCATGACGGGATGAGGTAAACAAAAAGAAGACCACGACTGGCGCTGAGAACTGAATAAGCCAAGTCCAAACCCCACACGGAAGGCTTTCTGGTGGTGCTTTTTGAGCCAATGGTGCAGATGAACTATCTTGGAAATCCATACACTAGATAAATTTCACTCTGAGATCTACAGACTCTTTACTGTGTGTGCAAAACTCCACCATCGACTCTGAGCTGGGCATCGGCCTGACAGCCCATGCCGGGATCCATATAAAAACCTTGGAAATGGAAAGCACCGACACCATGTGGCTAAGTACCCAAAGTCTACGGATCAAAGGAACAAGACTACAGAAATTCGTGTGGAGGTCATTGTTCTCTTTGAAACCTCCCATAGACTAGAGCCCTGCAGCCGAACGCCCCGAACACTGAACTTTAACCGTGTAATAAGGATGCAGCCATTAGTATACCAAACCAGTCCTTGCGAACATCACCCGTGTAGTTCTTATAATTGAGACCCCTTGTCGTGCCCTTATAATATAACGTCCTACACCCCAAACCGAGTACCTTTTGTAGTACTTGCTTAGTGGACTTTAGTGGACCTTAGTAGGCCTATAGCCTTCTGCTGTTGTTTGTGAGGCGTGTTTTTGTTCGCGTGCGACGAAAATGTGAGATGTCTATGGTTGAGAGATGAAAACATGCCTGCCGTTCTTTCTGGAAGCGGCTGTATATGCTGTAACCATCCCGACAATACCTCTTAAGATCATGATGAAACGTGTTAGAGATATAATTCATTGCGGCCAGCTCGTTCCACGTCTACCGCCACCTCGTTGCTCTCTTTCTTCACTTCCATGTGCGCATCTTTCGAAACCTCCTCCTTCACCTCTTGCTTGATGTCCTTCCAGGGCGTTGCTGGCAAATGCAAGTAGAAGCTAAGCTGGTGAAGGGCGTCCACTGGTGGGTCAAGCAGGAGACTCCGCTGTGATAAGGATTCGTTCGCAAGCGTCCGTGCGTAGTCGAGCTAAGCTCCTAGCCAGTTGAACCCGTCTAGGCTGTCAGGTGTGGGGCTGAGGAAATCCGCATACAGGGGAAGGGCGGCGTTATTCAAGCACTGCAGACCAACTACTGAAGAACTCGGATGCACACTGCACAAACACCCTGAAACCACATTGCACCTACAGTGGCCCCCACAATCCACCCCGGCACGCGAACCTTTTAAGGCTCCGGAGGTTCCAGGATTACATGAACCTGGTGCGGTACTGCTTCAGTCAACTACCACTGGTGAGGAAACACTGAAAGGTAGTAATGAAGCAAGCTCCGGTATTGGTGGATACATGGGTGGTTGTCAAAATTAGGGTCCCTTTTTGGGTACCATAGATATTAGGTGCCGTATTATAATAGGTACCCAAAAAGGGACCAAAATTTTGACAACCACCCACTTCGGTATTCCCAAAAGCCCATCAGCCTTCGGCGTGATCTCCTTTCTCACTCGCTCATCATTGCCGTTCAAAGGCTCTTCCTTGATCTCAGTCTTCACGTGTTGCTCTCCGTTCTGCGGAACCTCCTCTTTCACCTCTGTCTTCAGGTCCTTCAGGCATTTTTACTGGTCGAAGCTTTCCGAATTTGCAAATGTCGATCTCGCCGGTGCCGGTGTCGGGGTTGCCAAAGTAATTGAAACCTTAATCCCAACACACAAGTTAAGATTCGCCGAGCTCGCACCGCGATTCCCAACATGCATGTCTTCGCGATGTTAACCCAAAGCCCATGTGTCCGCTTGGGCTTCTTTGGATTCTGAGACCGCTGAAATTGGCAACAGCTCTAGAGGTCGACGAAAACTGAATCAACAGAAACTCGGCGCAACACCTTCGCTGTGCACAGCGAGTCCACTATATAGCACACAGACAGCCCACTGAGTTTGAGCGCCACATGAGCTTCAGAAATGCAGCGTTCTTTTGTTGCCATCAACAGACGTGCGTCTACTTGACTTCGATCTGAGGATGATGTCGCGAGAAATGCTACACAACGCGTTTGAGTCGGGCATGAGTGTGGGATCGAACTTTGGTTTCAATACCACGGAGTAGCGCTGGGTGGCTTCATGCGTGATCGACCGTGCCGGGTGCTGTGCACGGACAGGGAGCTTCTGACTAGTCGGCGGCGGGTTCGCATAGCAAAAACAAGCCGATGAACCCAACATGCGAGAATCCGAGAGCTACACTATACCAGGCCTGACGGTCCTTTCTAAGGGTGCTTCTTTGAAGCCAGCATTCAAGGACAAAGCAACGAATGTAGCAGGCAAAGGCTTGGTCCCACTCGCCTCCTTGACTTCCAGCCCAACCTGTAAAACTTGCGCCCAGCACTTTCTGAACCAATAATATCAGAGTCCATTTTGCAGTGGTTCTGTGGACTGTAGTGTTCGGCTTCTCCGATTCGTAAAAGACCCATACATAAAACGACACATGGGATTCAGAACGAGTGCACTGGGATCGGTTGCTGAGGTGCCCGACGTATCCCGTAGGCATCAAATGCCACTTGCTAACTGCAGGTGACTGCACCAACTCTAAACAAACCGCATCGAATACAGTGGTGTGCAAACCCACACCATCTCGCAGCATAGTAATCCTCTCAACTGGGTGCTCTGGGTGCTCGTGCGAGCTTGGTTAGCATCGATGTTCACAGCATTTCCTTTCTTCCACTTAGTGTCGAAGAGGTCTGCTGCAAGTTCGAGCTTTGGACAAAGTGTTCTATATACCCTAGATCAGCACCCTAAACATACGGGATTTCATAATTGGAATGGGAACCTGAGGCAAAGTATACTACATAATTATAGAGAGGAATTTAAGGACTAGCGTTACACAGTAGTCACGCCTAGGCCTAGACGAAGCTTCAACAAGCTCGTAGTGACTCAACTGCCTGAACGGTCTCAATGCCATTCAAGACCTTCATCGAACACGCAGCTGCCTCAACTTCTTCCTTCACTTCATCCTTCACCTCCAGGCGTAGGACTTGGGACACTGTAACTGTAGGCTTGGTTGAGGGTTTAGGGTTCAGGGCGCAGGGTTGAGGATTTGGCGGTGTAGGGTCAAGGAGGCTTGTGCCTTTCAACTCGGGGTTGTTCATCGCAGGATTTCTCACCATTCCAGCCTTTGTGTGAAAACAAGGACCAACTTGGGAGTTTAAAAAAGAGGGGTACCTTATTTAGGGGTCCTTATAATAAGGATCCTACTATTGAGGGTACTAAATTAGGGTCCCCTATTTTTGGAATCCCCCACTTTGCGCTTGTGCGACGATGATGAACAGCAGGGGATCGCAGCTTTAAGGCCCAAAGTAACGAACGACACTGCAGGGGTGCAAACACTTATCGATAATGCCCTAGATAGAACTCTATGAACAGCTGCTGGAAGCCAAAGACATAAACAAAAACACAACATGATAAACTGCAATAGAAGCCAGAAAGTTGGAACATCCTTATCCTCATGCCCCTAAGGTAAAGTATATACGGGATCCTAGCACAAATCCTCCCAAAGCCATGTTCCAACTTTCTGGCTTCTACTATACGACGACCACCTGCCTTGAGCTCCTCGTGGATGTCTGGGCCTTGGCCTTGAACTGCGCCTGTTGGCGTGTCTGCCTCACGAGAGCGCCGGGATTCTGTGACGCTGGGCTCTCTGCAGGGAGTCGAGTTACCCAAGAGCTTCAATAGCTCAACCCCGGCCCTACACCCCAAACCCTAATCCCAAAACCGCCCAAACCTGGCCCAAACCCTGAGATCCACGCATCTACGGGTGCCGACTGTCGGGCCAAGTGCCAAAATATGTCCTCTTGGCATACGCTTGTAATACGAAGAGCCCTCGAGGCCACGACTGAAAAGCACACACCATCCCGATGCCTCCTCGATCTCCTTCTTCACTTCTCGCTTTACTTTCTGAGGTCCGGCTGGCTCCTTCGGTTCATATGTTTTCAGCCCAAGGCAGGGACGAGACCCACGAGAAGATCCACGGCCCGTGTTTGGAGGAATCCTATGAGCCTATGCTAGCCCAGTTTCGGAGAAAAGATGCTTGAAACATCTCGAACTCGCAAAAAACACTGACATCCCAACGGTTCAGGATATAGGGTTTAGTTTAGGGAGCTACAGGCGCAAGAAAAAAACGAAACTGTACAGCAACTTTGCGTCCGGCCCAGGGTTCTTGGGGGCTTTTACCCTCGTGTGCCAGAAAGGCCTGGTCCAGCCTGCACGGTTCCTAGAGGCTCATAACAATTCTACATAAGCAGTAAACTAATTATAGGGGCCATAATAATTAGAATAGGGTTAAGGGGTATATTATACCATAATCATAACAAGGACCCCCCACGAAATAGTATAGGTCACTCTCTAGGATACCCAGTAACCTAAGAATAAAAAGGCCTCTCTTTTTAGTATTGGGTAACTTTATAAGGAACCTAGGACTACAAAAAGGGAATAAGGGTACTACTGGGCATCCTAGGTTCTGTTCAGGACGTGAACGTTTAGGTTTTAGCCCCGAGGGTCCAAGTACCTAATAATCATATACTTTCCCAAACCCTGACCTACATAGTTACTATCCTAATCCCGAGTACCTGATTATTGGGTCCTTTGGACCCTTTATAGTTGTTGTAAACCACTGCACACACGCACTGAAGTATATACCCGTCCAAGTGATAACAAGCAGCATAATACCATTAGGCAGCTACGCACTTTTCCTGTTAGAGCACTTGTGCCACAACGTCACCACACAACATGCTACTTCACACGTGCACAAATTACACCCCCCTCGCCGAAGCGTCAGTCTGAGGCGCAAACATGCACGGAAGCTTGGTGCTGTGCGGCCTGCCGTAAAGGCGGCTGGATTGTGACTCGGGGCTCATAGACTTTCTACTACCGTAAAGCGGAAGATACGGAAGCAGATTAATTCTTTTAGCGCGCAGTTTAAAGTCGCGACATGCATTATAAAGTGGCGGCGATCCAGCAAGCCTTGATTGATGGCGTGGATACTAGCCGCGAAGTGATGTGCAGCATGGGACGAATACATCATCCACTGGAGCTGCTGGCATATCGGATTTGTCACAAAGTGACTGCCAGGAAATGCAGAATGAAATTTTTCTGGTCTTAAGGAAATTCGGCCACCTCTAAGAGGGGCTGTATTTCAAATGTTGATCAGGTACTTAGTACCATCCTCGGGAACCGGAGGAGCGGCCATAGGGGTGGGACCCGCGATGATAGCCTTGGTCCCACTCCTGTTGATAGCGCTGTTGCTCAGCTCGGCGTGCATCGGCCTTTGCCTGTGCGATGCGAGAACGCTCCGCGTTGCGCTGGCGTTCCTCGTATGCACGGAGTGCAATACCGACCTGTACCGCGAATTTCCCACGGAGCCACTCGGTCCAGTCCTCAGCAGAGTAGCCGAGGCGTGGATCAATGTAGAGTGCCTCTTCTGAGAATGTAACGATCATTCGCACAATTTTGTGCTGGAGGAAAACATCTACGAACCTACGCAAACTCTTCGGAGCTTCCACCGTAGGTGCCGACAGCGAGCTGTCGTTGCTCCTTCGAACGGCCATGGTTCGGCAGTGCAGCATGGGTAAGCACGTCTTCGATGGCTAGGAACTCCCGATCGTACCCATTGCCGATGGAACTCATGGTGTAGTCCACATCGTTGTCAAAACGGTGTACAATGCTGGTGTACCCTCCTTTTGTCGCCATCTTCAACTGCTGCCTGGCCTTGTCCAAAGCTTCTGCGTCAAGCGACGTCGTCCCACGCTGCGTTGAGGAATCTCTGGTCATCTCATTAATGACCTCCTCCGGCGTCAGCTGGGAACGTGGCTTGCCGGCAGTGGCAGCGGCGGCCTCTTCAGCGAACCAGCGGGCTGTACGCACTTTCTTGCGTGCGCTTTGCTGGGAAGGCTTCACTATGTGAACGCCACAGCTGAGGCAGATCATCTGTCCCACAAGATGCTGTGCACCGCAGTGGGGACATGCCCTGTGGCGGCCACCCGTAACGGGGGCTGGAGGGAGAGCCAACGGAGTCGATTCCGGCTGAGGCGGTGCCTGCTCAAACATCGGCTCGACTTTGGCCTCTTGTTCCTCCTTTTTCACATCGCCTTCTTCAGCGTCAACCTCGATTTCGACAGGTTCCTCTGGCTCAAGGAAACGTACTCGCTTTCTGGACTCAGTTCGCGCATCTGGTGGCGATGCGCCCCCCTGGTCCAAAGTTGCCGTTTCCTCAGGAAGCAAGTCGGATGCCGTAATGTCGTTGAGAGCAAGAGGTGCCGATGATGATGCTGGTGGCGCAACCTCAATCTCAACTTCAACCATAGGCTCATCTGCGGGGGCAGATGGGGTCGATGCTTCATCCTGTTGGCCTCCACTAAGTGGGGCTGTAGGTTCCTCCGGAATGTCGGGGAACTGCTCCGGCTCAGCTGCTCCTGGATCCACAATTGGTTCCGGGGCAGTTTCCTGAATGATCACATCCTCCTCCTCGCTGGATTGGCGGGACCATAGGATAACGCCCTTGGTGGTGTCGTGGATGTATAAAATACATGTACCCGGCACCACATCACGGGTGAGAATGCCCTCAGATGTCGTCTCGAAGAGGTATGCGTGGCGATTGACCTCTTGCGTATCAAGAACGATCTCGTAGGGCAAGTTCGAGCGGCTACCTGCTCTGTTCTCCAGTTCGCTGAGGGTAGCTTTGGCAAAGTGGTTGTGAAATTTGCCACTCTTGTTGTACCCTGGCGTAAAGCCGGAACTGAGGATGCTGAAGGCAGCGTCGTGCGTCGTCCTGTGGTAGAGACGCGGTGGGAATTCGCCAAGTGCTAAAAATGGCCTGCCTTCATAGGCGGCTGAAGCTCCCAGCTCTTCCCGCGTGTCGTTGGTGAACCAATGCAGCGCGATAGAGGCGTCGGTGACTTGGTCTTTGATCCTTTCACTGTGGCCATGGGACGCACAAATCCAGGATGGCCAGATGTCCGTCTCAATGTAGTCAGCACGGGGATCTGTGGGGAGGCCTGCCAAGTTGAGCCTCGACTTATTGTCGTAGGCCACCAAGGACAAAATGCCTCGTGTTCCCAAGTCCACGCGGTGCTTCTTCCACATATGCTGGATAAGCTCCTGTATGCGCACCCATTTCCCGCGCCGTGAGCTGAGCTTTGTGTTCGACCCTCGGACAGCACCTGTGAGATATCGCTCAATGTAGGGTTTGAAGTTCATCTCAGGAAGGTGGTCCTTCGGGATCGACTCGGGAAGGATCGGAAGGATTGGACGATCTCGCTCCCCTCCGGATCCTCCGGGCACACGTCTTCATCAATGAAGCCGCACATTTCCATCAGGTCCAAGTCGTCTTGGTACTTCAACCCAATGTAGTCGTGCGGGCGAGCTTTAAGAAAGCCGCTGGAGGGATCCCGGTCCTTCTTAGTCATGCCCTCGCGAGCCGCGGACAAGGTCCGGTGCGACTCTGTGCGGTAAGGGATGGCCTCGATGACATCATCAAAGGATACCTCAGGTACATCGCGAGACGATGCGCTCCCAGAAAGGCCACCACAAAGTGGGGCTGGATCCTTGCGCTCAGCACGGGCACGTGCCTCTGCTTGCTCTTGCGCGTGCTTTTGTGCCTGTTCACGAGCAGTAGCCCACTCCCAATTCAGAACCTTGGTAGGGACCTCGCGCATTCCAGTGACAGGAAGATCAGGCGGGGGAACATAGGGAGATTCCCAGGGATCAGGGCATTCATTTGCCGCTTCGCGAATCTCGGCCTGCCTTAAAAGGCGGCGGGAGAGCTGGGACCGAAACAATGCTTTGTCGAAGACATACTGCATCGAATACACCCGGGTTCCTTCCGAATCGAAACGGAACCTGCGTACCAGCTCATCCAGCGTCTCTGCGGGCATCTTCGCGAACAAGTGGTCTGCTTGACACACTTTAATCCGCTGGCCGATCACAGAGGCCAAGGCAGCACGGTGAGTTGAGTCTTCGCGAAAATGATAATGATCATGTTTCGGAATCTGACTCACTGTTTCGCAGAGCGAGGCGGTGTACAAGCCTCTGCTTCTCGCATAGCCGAGAAACTTTCTAATAGCTGTGCGATACTCCGCAGGCAGTCCATAATCCAGTGGGTCAGCGTCCGAAAGGATCTGTATCGAACCCACTGTTGGCCTGCCCTGAAGGGCGGCTAGACGGCCTATCTCGCCACAAACCCTTGCAGCGATGTCCGCCCAGATCCCTTCTGCGGCCACACCTTCTGGCCCGACCTGCCAGCGCGGCGTCCCTGGATCTACGAAAACTCCTCTGCGACTGCACAGTTCGTTAGCCATCCAGACTACGACGATGTCCACCTCCAGATGCGTGGGGTTTAAGGACTCGTTTATCACCTTGCATATCCTTAAGGCAAGGAAGCAACTGTGACATCGTCACGAAGAAGACATGATCCATATCACCCTTCTGCCACAAAATGACAACGGCATCAGGATGACGATGAACCAAAGGAAGTGTCTTTCCTTGAGTCCCCCTGTAGACGTTACAGTACTCGAATTCCAGATACGGTAGAGTCAACACTCGCACATTCTTAATCATGGGTCGCAGAGCGACTGCCTCTGACGATGTGGTCGTGTGAACCTCCAACTCAGTACCCGGAAGGAGACTGTCAACATACGACAGAGTCTGGACCAAAGACGATGTAACAAAACGTTGTGGTGCAACAAACCTGAGAGGTGGCGGAAGCTTCCCTTTGTCATTGTTGGAGAGCAATGAATACTCTGCTTCTGACGGAAGTACCGGCAAAGCCTCTGAATTGCGGTCTGATCGCAAACACAACGCGCACAGTGTTCCATCATCGAAATCCTCAAAGATATCCTCAAACAAATAAGATTGTCGAAGATCTGATCGTTCATCACCCACAAGACACTGCGAAAGCAGCACAGCAAACCTTGGATCAA